CTTTCACCAATTAGAAAAGAATGCACGAGATCACAGGTGGCAATGAATCTCTTTCAGCACTCCTTGGACTCTCATGTAGACCAAAGGCTTTTTTCTGACACTGATTGGAAGTATGTGATTCCCCTTCTTCCTCGAGGAGAACGTTGCAGAGTCAGGGTTTTTTTTTAGCAGAATATGAAGGAAGTCTTTAAAACTATTGAAAAAAGAAACAGCATGTTTATGATGAGCTAATTCACCTTTCAATGAGATTTCACGGATGGTAGCCTTATCAAGAAGTAGAATCTTTTGCTTTCAGTCATTGCCATGCCACAGATTTGTGTGATGTTTTTATTTTGAAATTACTTGGAGCTGCAGCAGATCATTCTTCATCTATAATCTTACTACAATTTCTGACTACATCTGAAAAGTGATCTCTGAGATATGCTATACTGCTTGGTCAGGTGGACAGAAATGTTTTCAGCTTCTTGAACCATTGACTTGCTTCAAGAGAAAAACTTTTCATAGCTATAGTAGTTGGAAGCTAACCAGATCATGTATGTCCAGAAATACAATGGTGGTTAGAAAGTTGTTAGTTGCTCTTGTTTGTGAGACCTTTGACCACAAAATATAATGCAATGAAAAACTAATAAAAGACCAGTTAATTTGCAAATAGATTCAGATTCTTCTTTTTTTCTATTAGAACTGATTTTCCGTAATTTGATTAAATATTGACTTTCATGTTTATTAACTGATTTTGTTATAGCAAATGAAAGAACACCTTTACAGTTAGTTATATCTGAGGTACTTTTTGATAGGCTTATACGTCTTACAATTTCCATTATGACACACAGACAGACACCAGTACTGCTTTTCACCATGGTTACATATCCTTCTGTGTAACCAGTTATGACTGTTTTCATTCCAAACACTTCTAATTTTGATTACTGTTCTGATGTTATAAAGAAGTTCTCCTTGCTATTTTTGAAATTTTAATTTTCTTCCTATCTTTCTGGTTCAAAGACATTGCTAGCAGTAACTGTAGAGTCAGAATTCATTTAGTCATAAGAAGCAGTCATAGCAGGAGGAAAAGCAAGTATAACAACTGTGGTGGTGTCATCCAGTGACCAATGGCCAATTTCCCATAAAAAGAAGCCTTAGCAAAGCAATGGTGAAACCTGTTCCTTACTTGATTCAATAGCTTTGCTGGTTCTGAACTTTCAAGGTTAGGTATGAACTCCGCTATACTTGCGTGATCACTGAAGCCAAGTAGACTAGTTGCAGATGCAAAACAAACCATTTGCTTAGATACTAGCAGGAGATGGTTCTGTAAATTTATATGTAAAAATGCTGTCTTGCTACCTCCTTTCACGGTACCAAATCCAAAACCAAAAACATACCTGTTCCACATTCAAAATTTAAATTGAAATGTACATTTGGCTAAACACTTTCTGAAGTTGGTCCCACTTATTTATATCTTCAAACTCTGACTTTCTTTCCTTCTTTTTTTCTCTTTCTTTCTTTCTTTCTTTCTTTTTAAGGTAAAATAAATTAATAAAGCTATTCTGATGCACAGAAGATCCATGGAAGGGGAGTGTGTATAAAAAAGACATGCATAACATAAAAAATGGATCTCAAACACTAAATATGCCATCTTCCTACAAGAAGCATCACAGGCATGCTACTATCAGCTGGACTGATAACATTGGAATGAAGGAGAAAGAGAGACAAAGAGAGTTGAGGAAAAACAGAACAGGATAGTTTAAAAAAATTAAAAATATTTTTGAATCTTTAGGACTGGTGAGCTCTTTCATGAAACAATATATAGTGTAAATAGTTTTTTTGTACTTTAACTTTGCCAGTTTATACCACAGGGATATGATTTAAATTATGCTTATTCTGTACACTGCAGATTTTTATCCAGATTAAAATAAATCCCAAATCCTGTTTATCCAGTCCATGCATAATTATGTGGAATTGTTTTTACCAAAATACATTATGCAATGAAATATAATCAAAGAGATGTAGAAGTGAAGCAGAGAGGAACAAATGAACAAATAAACAATGTTTCACCAGCAGATCTTTAAAGCTACTTTTAAGTTTAGCCATTTCAAAAGAGCATAAAATATTATCTTCTTATTTTCAATAAAAAGTGCAGGATTTTGTGTAGGAAAGCAAGTTTATTTAGTCTAAGCATAGTATTATTCCTGAGGTTAAAAATTTTTTTTTTCCACTTGTCCTGAATTCTTAAATATGTTGCTGATGACAATTAAAAACATATTTTGAAACATATTCTCTGCTATTATTCATATATATATGTGTGTATCTGTACATTATATGCACATATATATATAAATGTAAGTTATTCATGCATTTCATATTTCAAAGGAGAAAAAGGATTGAGTTTTCTAATTTCTCCTCAGTTTTCAGTCATGATATGAAAAAGAAAGACGTTGGATCAAATTCTGCCTTCAGATATTTGCACAAAACTCCCATTAAATATTGACAGGAGTCAAACACATTTGTCTGAGGACAGTGTTAGTCCTTCGGTGTATAAATGAAAATATTTCATGCAAAATTAAGTTCTCACTACCACATGCAAGTCCATCTCATACGCACATGGCTTAGAGCCGAGAAAACTTCATTGGTGCTTGTGCTAACATGCATATATGGTTTGAACTAAGAGCATTCACGCAAAGAAAAATGCAGAATGATCAGCACGGCAGCTTTGTCAGAGTGACGTTTCTACAGAGCAACTATCTAATGCAAACTAATATGCACATGACCTTTTTTGGGCAGAGAAGCATGATTTGAGTTGTGGGGTAAAACAGTGATTAATAAATGTGGTTAGATCAGCATTTCTTAGTGTCTAATTTTTAGTAGCCATTTTGCCCCACAGCTGATTGTACTTGAATTCTTTCCCTTTGCTATCTACCCCTTCATCATGCAAAAAGTTACATTTAAAATTAGAAAATACTGAACAAGCTCCAAACCCGACAGATAACATGGATATTCTCCACACTTTATACTGGAATTAAATTTGATATAAATACCTCCTGCTCTTACCAGTGGGTGGTGTTATTCCATGTATTTAGGTATGAAGCAGACAGGAAAGAGATAAATCTTTCATAAGTACAACATAAATCAGACAATTGTCATATTATCCTTGCACTAAGTGTAATATAGTCAAACTCACATTTTAAGAAAATTAAGTGACTGCCATAAAACTTCAGGGACAGAATTGTGAATAAGAAATAACACGAAATAAAATATAACAAAACAAGATACTATCTTGATTTTTTTCAGATTTTATTTAAAACAAAACCGCCATACTGCCTCACAATCATATTGCAGAATATGGTCTATTTAATCCATTTAATTAGCATTTCATATTAATGACAAATCCAAGACTAGCTGCAATATACCAATTCCTGTATTATGCAAAGTTTAACCTGAGAACATCCAGATTCAGTTACTATTTCATGTGAAACAGATGTTCTTAGTGCGTCTATTAATGGAGATGAATTAGTTAAAGCGTATGTGGTTTTGTAATATCTTCAGAAATAATATGAGCTAGTTCAGACTTAGGCTGCACCCACATGCAGCTTAAGAGCCTGATCCTGCAAAGTGCTGAGGACCCCTCACTCCCATTGTCACCTGAATTAGGGCCATTCAGCGCCATGTAGGATGAAGCCACTGATGCTGCCTTCCACTGCAATAATCCCCAGCAGAGGTTTGTACAGACATTCTTGTTCTGCTCTGAGTATGATTCTCCTCTGAAGGGGTTATCCATGGAAGTAGGAAGCGAAGCCCAATATATTCAAATTGTCTTTTAAGATGTGCTTTACTTAATGGTAACCATAAAGTCCAGCCGTCGTTGACCTGGCTTTACAAAAGCTTTTAATCGAGACCACTGTTTCTGTTTACTGCATAAAGCGAGCCTTTGTAAAAGTCCTTTGCAGGCATGCAGATATGACACAGAAGCTGTCGGAATTTATATCTACATTTTGGAAGCTGATTCTAGTAAAGTTGTTACTAAAATCTATAGACTTTTTTTTTGTTCTTGCCAACCTTTCAAAGAGCTCTGCAAAGTCTCTAAACTGTAACTCTTAGAATACCTCTGGAAAGTATCCCTTTAGAGAGCACAGATTCACAGATCCTGAATCTCAGTGTCTATATTCTCAGTGTCTTCAAACCTGAGTTAACTTTTCAGAAAAAAAGTTGCTGTCTTTGGAAAAGAAGATAGAAATATACATGCTTACTTTTGCTAATGACGTTATCCCTTTTTAGCTGGCTTATAATATAGTTTCATATAAGGACTGTTAACAAGTTTTTATCAATTTCTATAATCAAGCCTGAAGAATAGAAAATATGTATTGTACCTTGCCACTTCCTAGAAATGAGATTCTGCTGATTGCTGACTGGTTAGTACTGTGTTGACTTCCAGTACAGAATAGGGAGTTTGTGAATGCAGAAAAGTTCCTGTTAAGACTATCCTATGATTAGAATATTTCTCTCTGAAAAGAAGAGTTAATCTATCTGCCTGCTCCTCTCTTCCATTCACTCCCAATATACTTGTTCTAGATTATGTAATGCAATTTTGAAAAATGAGTTGATCTCCACAGTTTTTATACAAGAGTAACTCTGTAGATTCCAACAAAGGTACACTGGTTTGATACTGGAAGTGGAAAATACAGGCCAAAGAAAATATAAAATTCTGTAAAAACTACATTTGAAACAAGTCTAACTACAATTTTCTTTTCTTTCCATTAGCTTATGATAGTCAGTTGCAGTTCTCATGCTTTCCTATGCACAATGAGAGTTCAGATTTTTATTTCTGCTACAGCTTGTAATAATCTAAGCACCTAAATGCATGGGTGTTTAACTTGAAATGGCTTGATTTTCAGCACCTTCCTAACTTACACTTTAAAGCTTATAAATAATGAAAATTCACAATCACTTTCTAAATTCTCACCCGTTTATCTATACCTCAGCATCTGTGCCTGAAAAATAGAACAACATACCATATTCATGTCAATGCCGTTGGTGTATGTCCACGCATGCTGGAAGTATTCCTCAAGTCGCTGCCGCAAAGGGTTAGGGATTTGATGAAAGCGTATAAACTCCTTTACTCGCAGCATCTGCATGTGATACCGTGCAGTTCCCGAATAGAGTCTTTGGATTATTGCAGATACGTTTCCAAAAATACTCGCATACATTAATGCTGGATTAAACAGAAAAAAAAGGTACTTAAGTCATATCATTGGGTTCTGCAGATGATGCAACTGCTCTTACAGTGCACTTCATACGTCAAACAGCTCAGGTGAGACTAGTAACACTTTTAAAGAGATGTGGACTTGACTGACTTGTAGCTTGTTAATTATTTCATTGCATCAGTATATATTAGTAAACTGCAGATGAGGCTTTCACAAAGATACATTAAAAGTAATTATTAAATGGTAACCAAATTGGCAATATTTATCTTTGGAGATTTGTAGTCCTGAATTTAGTGTTGTAAATTAAGTTCACCCAACTTTACAGACTTCAGTAGAACTAAGTTAAAGTTAAGTACAAAATTAAGAACAAATGGCAAAGTTAGGTAGGTACCCATAAGTTTATAGGTTCAGAGTTTAAATCAACAAATGATTTCATCAATGATTTCATTAAAACACTGAAAACTCAGCTCATTTCCCTACACAGGATTTGCTTGCAGACACTGATACACAGCACAACACTTCTGACAGTCTGGATGACAGAGTTTGAGTAGTCAGGTCACTTTTCTATTTAATTGAATGGAGTTGACTAGATTATAGGACTCAGTTTCAGATAATAGAGAGTTCTAAATATACTGTTGTACCCAATCTCAGTGATATATTTTAAAATATATCTGAACATCAGGCAGCTGTACCAAAACATTTGGAACTTTTTGGACATGTAAAATAAGGATTTCAGTGCAAATAATTCCTTTAACTCATGGAAAATTCGACTCCTGATTCTTAAAGCTGCTGATGCACCTAAATACCAGACCTGATAGAAATAAGACTCTCTTATCACAAGACTAGGACCTGAGGCTGTTTGGTGTATTTCTCTTCCCTTCCTTTTCCTTTTCTTTTTATTTAATTACATTTTGTAAAAATACCACAGTATCACCAGTGTATTTTACTCATTTTTATTTCTTCCTGAAGAGAGCCCACTGCTCCTTTCATCTAAAGCAAAAAAGCTTCTGTGAACTAACTCCCTTTAATGTTTACATTAAACTATTGAACTTTGGTAAAAATTTCCAAGGCGAACCTTCCTTCTCAATGTCCTGAACAAATCCAATTCAATTAACACGTAAGCTCTGAAAAAATAAAACCATGGCCTTCTCAAAAGAATGGTTCTAACTTTAAAAAGTTTTGACTACATTTGTCATGAAGTACTGGCTGTTTTTATAACACCTTACCATTATACATATTCCCTTTATCTAATATGATCTAGAGAAGGGACAAAAGTACACAATAAATTAATTAGTTTTTTCCCAAAAAGGGGAACACAGGAATTGCCACGCATTTTTGATCTATCTGCCAATACTCCGTCTAGAGACAATACTTTCTCTGAAGTACTATGTGAAAAAAGGCTAACTCTGAAATCGGCCCAGTTTTGAACAGGGGTTGTACCTCCAGAGGTTCCTTCCAACCTATATTATGCTAAAATTTTATGATCTTAGACAGTTCTGTACTACCTTATCCAGTGTGGAAATTTCTTTTTAACAACTACCAGTTGGCTTGTGTCTCACATAGACCTTCTATCCAATTACCAAAACAGTTTGATTGACTATTCCTTTGATCGTTTAGACATAAGAAGTGTAAAGAGTGCACAATAATGCTTATACTGCTCACACTGCTCATTCCACTGTTTCAGGGAGCAATATGAGAACAGAAGAGATGCATGTTTATTATTGGACGCCTAGTATATTCTCAGAAATCTCATCCCAGCTCACTAGAATGCTCAAACAGGTTTATGTGTCTCTAGTGAAAAGAATATTTAAAAGCAATCACCTTTAGTTAGATACATGATCAAATACCTTGAAAAACTGTAGCTTTTGTCTAATATCCCATTTAATTTGGTCCAGTCTAATCAAAGAAACATTAATACCTTAGACTTCTTTACACTGGATGAGCCACCACAATGTATTTTCATATATAACCATTGTTTTCCTTGGGAATTTGCCCTTCTGCCTGCATGCCTATAATTTTAATTAGCCTAGATTCTGTTAATTCATTTGCTCAAACACTGAGAAAAAAGAAAAAAATTAATAAGATAAAACTACTTACAGCCAATCAACATGACACAAATGGAAAAGATTTTCTCTGAGTTGGTATTTGGAGACACATTTCCAAATCCTACACTTGTCAGACTGCTGAAGGTAAAATAAAGTGCTGTAACGTATTTGTCCTTGATGGATGGTCCAGAACTTGCATCACTTTTATTGTAATGCTTTCCTAATTGTTCTCCTAGAGAATCCAACCAGCCAATCTTATGAGCCAAGTAAGGTCTTTCTACATTTCCAATGGCATACCAAATGCAAGCAAGCCAGTGTGCAATTAGTGCAAATATGCACATAAGGAGCATCAGAACTGCAGCACCATATTCTGAATATCTGTCCAATTTCCGTGCTACCCTCACCAAACGCAGCAGTCTAGCTGTCTTCAGAAGACCTATTAATGTTGTTGTCTGTAAAAATAAGATATAATTAGAAATTGATTTTCTCTATTAGCAAATGTATTTTCAATTAGTCTACAGGAATAAACCAGCGTAAATTCTGTAATCTTTTAGGAATAAACAAAAACATTAGAGTAACCCACTTCAATGTAATCTTAATTTCATTTACCTTAAACAATCAGATTTATTATAAAAAATAGTGAGGAAAACAATTGTGATGCACTTTTAAAATTAAGATATATTGACAGTCATCATTTTGAATATTATACTTGATCTGGACTCTTGAATCTGTCTTTATGGGTTTAAATGATCCATTAGATTAATTATGTTTTGCCACACTCAAGTCTGTAAGTTATTGGAAATATTCATAATTACATGACTGGCCTAGTAGATAATAAGTATTTATGATGTTTGAACAAAGCTATGTGACTGTGTTTGATCATAACTTAGAAATTTCTTGCAATACTGTAACGTATAAGTTCTAGAGGGGAGAAAAACATAGGACAGAAAGGTTCAAAACAGAAGAAGTATCTTATTCTGCACATATTCTTCCACTTTGAAATGCTCAAAAGGCTCAGTATAGGTAAAAGACGAATCATTGTGAATAGAAAATCATGGAAAAGTTATTGTTGCCAGAGTCCAGATTAATCTTCTCCTTGCATCTTTTATCCTGCAGCTTGTAGGTGTTGTAGATAGCCACCAATAAAAGCACTCCACCGTTAAAAAAATATGAGTCAGACATAAAACAGAAACATATTCTAAGCTTTTAGAGGAGAACTGTACCATGTGCCGTTGCAGCCCCCTTGGGGATAGGGTTTCAGCTGTTCTTTGTAAAGGAACCTAGTATTTAGCAATGTCAATTTAAAATTTTCAAATCAGTGAATCATTTTCAGGCTTGTTGTTAATTCCTTATAAAAGAGATTATCAACAGCATTATAAATAGTAACTACACTATTTCAAAGAGAGCTTAGCACCATTTTTCCCTCCATTAAGTCTGAACATAGAGAAAAGCACAGTGAAAGTCAAGACAGTTTTTAGTGTGTTTTTTCCTTTTTTAGTGTACATATATAATACATAACACTTAACAACTGGAGAAGACTTTTCTTAGACTTATAAAACACTCCAATGGTAGTATGTTGCGTATTAAAGCTTTCTTTCACCAAGTACTACGCTAGTTTTTATGTTTTATTAAATCTTTGTATAGTTTTCTGTGTTTCAGGGTAAAATCATAAAGCCCTTGGAACATAAGCCCTGCTTTCTTGGCTGCATTTGTCAGTGGACAGCTCAGTATATTTATAATACATGTAATTTTCTTATACTACAATAATACAGTGTGATAATTGAGTAATAGCACTAACTAAACCACTGCTATAAACGATGGAGAGAGATGCCAGAAATGAAGAAACTGGCAGCTGAATCAAAGCCCATTGGTTGTTTAACAAGTAAGCAGAAATTGTCCTGTGATACCACTACCTTTCTTCTAGTCTTTTTCTTTATCATATATACATCTTGAAAACTTATACATTCTGATATAACATAGGACATGTTAGCAAGTAAAACTAATCTCTAAATGTCTATATTTTCGGAATAGATGAGCAAGAGGATAATGCAGGGTAATACCTTTTGGTTCAACTTAATAACATCACCGAGAATAATTTCAGGGTGAATTTCTCATTGCCTTATAAAAACGGCTGTTTCATTGATAGTGACTTCAACAGTCTGAGACACCGTGTCCTTCAAAGAGTTATGTTTAGGCTGAGCTTCAGCACGTGAGTATTGCCATCAGGTAAAACTTTTTGTAAGACAGATCAGGCTTTACTATTATGACACCTTAATGACAAGAGGAATCTTTAGAGAAGCTAACATTTTTTCCAGTGGGACCATTGAAACCATTTTATTATAGAGGTAGTCATATTTCTACACTAAGCAACATGTTGTTATAGTGCCCCTTAACTAGATCAGAAGGTGACTCCAAGGTATGCTAACAGTGTCCCACCTCATTCTGAAGATAAGATTTGCTAATATTACACATCCTCAGTGTTAATCCTACGTTTAGGTACTGGATTAGTGTGAACTCTGGAGTATAATGGACGTGCATAATACAAGCAAATCCCAGCTCTTCAGGGTGAAATGAGCACAAGTGAAACTATATATACTTTAAAGGAGTGCTCCAGCAAACATCTTGAGTTTGACTTTTCTTTAACACAGTGGAGATGCTTTGACTCTAAGATACAGCTGGCAGTAGAGATAGAAAGCATGATCCGGAGGATCTGGTGTGCTTTTACCTGCCTTCCACTTCTCAGTGTAGATGTAGCTTTCACAGAGTAATAGTCCACCTTCCATGTGCCACTTGGATCAGGAGAGGAGCACTTGGCACCAGAACTGTGCCTGGTGCAAGGTATATTCCTCAGCCCGCTGAGAATACTTTGCTCTGCACAGCACGTGAGGGGGCGGAGGTCCTGCTCTATCAATTACCTGCTTTATCCCACACAGTGCCAGATGTTAACATTAGGAGCTGTGCAAATAGCAGTTTGATAGAGGCCTCTCTTTTCTCTGAATTGCTTGCTGCTGTTATAATCGCTCATGATATTATCAGCTGGACTACAAGGTCAAAAGTTGCTGGATACTCATATCAGGATTGATATATGTTTTTTTTTTGAAAGCAATGTTTACTTGGGCCAGAAGCATATAGATATCTCATAGCTACTGAAACTGTGAATCTGGACCAGTAGGAGATGGACACAGAACCATTTTTCCCCACTATGGTATATTCAGTGCAAACATCATTCCATTTATGGAAGGCATTTAACTGTGTGCTTAAACTGGAAGTCGTTAGGACTACAGTACATACTTAAGTGCTTTCAGAATTCAAAGCTCCGATAAGGCATTGAATAAGTCCTTTTTTGTTAATAAGATTTATTAAAAAGACAGAAATCTTAGGTAATAATCACTTTAAGTGGATTCTGTGGAAACAGACATTATATCCTTGAATTTTCCTTTTCATTACAAATAAATAAACTGATCAAGAAAGGTAAAAAAGAGCATCTTAGACGTCTCTATTGTACTATATTTATATATTGCACTTTGCTAAGCTAACATTTTAATAACCTGTATAGCTAACATAATTTTGATATTTTTGCTCTGTTTGATCATTGTGCTATTCTGGCCCTTGCAAACACCTTTTGCTTTTTCCAGCTATAGTTCAGGAGGGTAATCTGGATTAAATGTGTACTTATGTATATGGCAGTAGTTACCCCATAGTGATTCTGGTCCTAGCTACAATTGTAACTGTTCCCACAGATAAGTCCTCCAAAAGGATATATTTTTTAAAAGGAAAAAAAATCAGAAGTGATAATTTCAGAAGGATGGGAAAATACATAATGTTAAACAGCACAAATTATGTAGTGAGAAAATAACGCAATTGTCATAAGAAAACATTAATAGAAATAATTGCTTCAATAATGTATTGAAAGTGCAATTTCCTTAAATGAGGCAATGATCATGTTTGTTCATCCATATGATCATCTTTATGCAACAGTTTGTTCTTAATAACTTTGTTAAGAACATCACTTTAATGAACTGACTCTGAATAGACTTATGTTAAAGAGTCTGACCCCATAATTGTAGGTATTTGTAGTGCTGAAAAATTTGCACGCAGAATATCTCTAGGTAAAGGATACTGAAATGCCATATATTTCTGGAATTGTTTCTCAGTTTAGACTGTCAGTAATTAATTCTTTTTCCTGAGGTAAATAATTGGGTTTTTGTATTTTGACTTTAGTAATAGCACAAAAGAATAAGTTATAGGTAATGTCTATATGGTTCTTTCATGCCTACACAATTCTTTCCATGAGCAAAGCAACAATATATGAGATGTCTTTAGTTTTTTGGAAGAATTTTTCAGTTCTCCTACTGAGAAGCTTGAGAAAGGTTAAATTTTGTCAGTTATTTGCCTTGTGGGGGAATAAAAATGACCTTGTGAAAACAAGAGTTCATGGATATTACATTTTCTACGTAGAGGACACTGAACTTTCCTTACAAAATCATTAGCTACCACAACGGGTTTTCCTTAACTCTGGTTAGTCATCTCTTTCTAATAGTGAGATTAGTTTAGCCCTGATGTTCAGCTGACTATGGCAGTGCTGAATTGATGGCAGCATGATTTGAAACAGGAGGGCATAATTCTCTCTGATTGCAGAGGGTATCATTCAGAAGTTATTATTGTACAAGTAGACTGGAAGAGTGAGCTGGTATTAGCTAATTAATTATGGGCATAATTGGTAGTCTGTCTGTATGAAGAGCCATTTATGACTCAGGACTTTATCACTGATGGCCAAATCCTTAGTTTTGCTCTAGGTTTTCCTGTTTGTTTGTTTGTTTTTTTTGCTTTCTTCATGACATCCGTTATCACTAATTTATAAATCTCTATAATGTCAACTCTTGTCTCTTTTCTAAACTAAATTACCCACTGATGTACATGATTAGCTCAGACAGTGTCTTCCAATGCGCATTAATGTGCATTTGCTTACACAGTATTTCATCTGTCAGGGTCCTTTCCAGCTTCCTGGTATTGTAAGGTCGTCATCAGGTTTTCAATAATTTCCTGTCACCTAAATTTTTTGGTAAAACCATCACCAACCTTCATGTCCTTTTTTGTAGCCTGCAAATAAATCTATTACATATGAACATAATAGCATCAAGCATAGTTTACTGTTTTCTCTCTCTCAGACAAATCTCTAATACATGACAGAATTTGGCCTTTCAGCCTGTCTGCTCCATTTGCTTAATAGCAATTGAGCTCTGTGTCATTGTTGAAGATCTTTATGTTATATGCGTCATCATACTGAAAATGCTAGTATAAACAGTAGTTAAACAAAACTATAATAACTAACCAAAACTTTTTATTTGCATCAGGGCACTGGTTCTCCAACTGCAGCTGATAAAGGACCACCAATAGGGTCTCAGAAGAATTGTCTGCAGAAGTGGTGCTGGGGGTTCTCTTCCTTTGTCTTGAAAAATATAATTAAGGGAAGATAAAGTGGATACTAAATGCTTCTCTAATATTAACCAAACAACTAAACAATTTCCAAAGATTCTACCCAAACATTGCATGATCCCAGCCTGGGAAGATGTCAGTCCACAGAATTGCTAATGCAAAGGCAGACTGCCTATAAGACCAGCTATGCAGCCTTGAGTATGGAAGACTTGAAATTCCTTGGATTAGGTTTCGTAAGTGAGCACTGGAAACTATGATATTATTCTTTTCCAGAGGTGTTTCCTGAACCTGATTTTCAAATAGATTTAAAATTTAAGGGGCGGGCATAGTCTACTCATTCAGCAGTGAAGCTGCAGTCAGGACAATTAGGTTCAATCTCTAATTCTAGAAGTGTGTGATTTTTCTTTCCAGTTCACTTTAACAAATATATTATGTAATGGAGTGAAGTAAGAGTCATGTCAAAACTAAGAAAGGAACAAGAGTGCTTTGATTAACGTTTCCATTTTAGCCAAAAAAAATCTTTATTTTCTTGATGTGTTGCTGCCAACAGAAGACACATTCAGTCTTACGTTTTGTGAGTACACTGGATATACACGTGGTGATGTATTTATTTTTATTTCCTAAGGCAGCATTTTTCCTGTTGGTATAGGTTTTAATTATGTTCTGTAAAAAAGCTTTGATTGCTATTATTTGCACAAACAGCAAAAGCCTTCCTGCTTGTCTGCATATTTTAGTTGAGTGTTCTGTCTGGACTGAATTTAATAAAACTATAAATACAAAAATTTTCTTGCTGAAGCCATTATCTTCACTTGCCTGTATGTTTTATTGCAGTAGATTCTAGAAGAACGGGAAGAAACTCTGGTTATCTATACACCTCTCTGATTTTTTCCCTCAATGCGTCAAACTTTGAAGTGAAAAGATCATGGATATATGAAAAAGTGCATTATTTTAAATGTACACACCTAAAAACGTCCAGTGATCTTAAGCAGCACTCCTCTTGTACACGCACATCATCTATGTGTGTGTTTTAAAGAGATGTGCTGCTGCACCTACATTTGTTTAAAATTCAAGCCAGACTCCTCAGGTGAGCGGTATGCTTAAAAATATACTAGCCAAATAATAGAAAGTCAAAATCCATATACCCATTCCTTTTATCTCCCCAAATATCAGGGTCTCACTCAGCACTGGAAATGCACACAAAAAAAGCAAAGGGTTTACCACCAGCCGCAACCAGTTTGTGTTAAGGGCCTATTTAAACAGAAAAAGTTAATTTTACATTATATTGGTTCCTCATTTAGAAATTGGAAAGTTAACTGTCCTTACTCTGTTGCTTTCCTACAGCTGACAAAGTGTGGCTCAAATGGAAGCATTCAGATAGTGCTGCATGTGGTATTTGGACTATTATCTCCTGCCCTTTCTAAACTCAGTTTGGTATTAAGGTTTCTTAAAGATGGGTGAGCACACATGGAGCTCTCTTTGGAGCTTATTTTGTTTAATAAAAAGAATGTGCAATACAATTGTTAGTAGGGGATCTTATCTGAAGAATCTCTAGATAACAAAAAAGAACGATTTCATGGAAAAGATGAGGGTTACCTCATGGCTGAAAAAATTCTATTAAATGAAATGGGCTTCATTCTAACAGTTTTACATCTGCTTCCTCTTGCTAGACTATCAAAAATGGTTCATTGTGGAAATATTATAGTTAACAATGCAGGAAGCAAAACTACAGTAAATAGCAGCTTAGAGGAAATAATTGAGATGTTCAATGCCCTGAACGAGAGACAGAAGTTATAATGGCATGATGAACTGGTCATAAGGTGTATGACCTCGTTGCTGCTTAGATAAACAAACTAGATCTTCCAGCTAGTAAAACTGTTCAATTATTAGGTCTAGATGGAATAAATAGTTAATTTACTTATATCTGCCATACTGAACAAGTCATCAGCAGTACTTGTTTGCTACTAATCTGTACCATTATCTTATCACCTCAGCATCTAGCTCTCCACTTAAATGCATGTTTAATTACGTTTACAGAACTTTGTGAGAATAACTTGGATATGCTCAGAATTCGGATCTTGTTCTTGGAGCAGACATAAAGATATATGCTCTCACAGCAAATGACTTTTCATTCTTGTCAGGGCTTTCTTTAATAAAAAGGAAGTCATTTTAAAATGAAAACATATTTTTGATCTTTGTGTATGGGCAAGTAACATTCTCTGTGTTGTGATACTGAGGCATACGGTCAGATTAGTGTGTTTCATGCTAAGGTTACTGATTAATTTGTGGTTTTCACTTTTCTTTTCTCTGTTAATGAGATGCACGCAAGCCCACAAAACTTTCTGTTTCCCTTATATCATGAAAAACTTCATTTAAAAAAAATGAATTTATTGTGTCCATTGAAAAATGACTGAACTTTATATTTTGCCAGGTTTGCTGTTTTTTTTTTTACTGCTGTGTTCTAGGCATCACAAAAAAATCTCTGCTTGTCAGTTCAGTTTTCACCAAAAAATATGTTATAACTTTAGCCCTTCTTAAATTAAATAAAATGCTTTGGAAGGAGGCAGAACTGGGTCAGACATCTAGAATACAGTGTATGCTTTATACACCTTTGGGCAATTTTCAGATGCATGCACTGAACACTTTGTTAACCAGTCCTATGGACAGAGCAAAGATATTAGCCATCTGGACTGTCAGTCTGGCAAGGTTAACCCAAAATATTCTTTTTTCTTTCATTTGGAAGTCTATGTTCTTGACACAATAGACAACTGCCACATCCTGTTGTTGTATTAACTAACACAGTTTACTACACTTGAACTAATATGTTTTACACCGAGTAAACATCTGAGGTAAAGATTTTGTAGAGAGAGAATTCATTTGAATACTTTAATGCTAAACAACACTTATATGTATTATGGGCAGTTTTTACAAAGCATGCAGTAAATCAAAGGAACATAAGTTCTTAAATGAAAGCATTGGAACAAATCCTTCATACATGATATATTTATCTCATTATTTATAAACACAGTATCAAATATGGTAAAACTGAAAAACACTAGCACAATCTTTCAACTCGTTCTCCTGTCAGTGAAAGTTAATATCCTACATTATTCTACTAATAAAGATTTAATTTTAGTTTAATTTTAAAAAATGGCATGGGACTACTAAACAATATATTCATTGACAAGAGAAATTTTATTTGAATATAGCAGATTATCATATTAAAATCAAAACTTGAGATTGAAAGTCTTCTCTTTTATTTAAGCTTACCTCTTCAGAGCCAGAGCCAAAAATCAGCAGGTCAAAAGGTATTGCAGCAACCATGTCAATTAGGAACCAGCCTTTGAAGTAGTGAATTGCTATTTTTGCTGGGTCACTTACCACTTCTTCATTCTGGTTTACATATGTTGTTCTGAAGTTTATTAGAATGTCAATGATAAACATAATATCCACAATTAAGTCCACAACATTCAGTGGGCTGCAGGAATATCCACACTCTCTTCTCTTCCGTTCTTCACTATCATTCAGGAGGAAAGCAGCAGAGTAAGGGGTGAATATGGCGGTGTATATTACTAGCAACAAAATGAGCCAGTCCCAGACAGCTTTGAAAGGACTATAGTGCAATATAGTAAACTTGTTGATGCGAGGTGTCTGGAGTTTATATTCTGGTAGAACATCAGCTCCTAAGGACAGAACCTAGAATAGGAAAAATAGCAATGATCAGGGCAGAATATCCATTCCTACTTTCAGTAAACTTCCATGACAAAATTAAAATATACTGTAAAGTAGTTTCGAGGGTTAAGCTTCAATTACTTGGTCCTAGGGCAGACTGGACTTCTGTGAAACTCATGATCTTTGTCAGGCCTGACACATTTATTGGGAATTTTACACAGTAGGTTGACTCTTGTTCCCTTTACCAACCATGAAGTGGTATACCTAGGCCATAAAATCTGCATACTTATACACATCATCAGATTCCCTAATCCATCTCGTAGTAACTTTGCCAGCCTATTCATGGCCAGTACAGAGAATTTCCTGGTGATACAGTGGTTTTCTCCCAGAGACCTGGGGTAAGAGAGGAAAGTAAGCCTATTATCATTGACTTAAATTCACTACACAACAGTCTACACCCACTAGAAAATGTTTAAGGCAATCAGAAATCAAAAAGTTAGAGAAAGAGCTATGAACGTCCTTGACAGCTATCCTAGCATGGAGTTTTGTGGTGTGGAAAATTTGCACGCATGGACAAATTTCATTCAAGCTATAGTTACTCTACAGCTACAGGTGTGAAAAGGAAGGGTACTGCAAAAGTATTTCAGCAGTACTGCCTTTTGCTAGAGTTGCACGTCAGCTTTTGTCAATGCCTAAAGCTAGTTATCATTCCTTTGCAAGTGTGGTCTCATTCGCTGTTGGTGTTCTCTAAGTTGGATTTCAATTTTACTTGCAATGGTTTATGTTTGTATGTACTGCTTGATTTGCGAGCCCTAGAAGTTGAAATGTTTGCTTTGTTGCAAAGAACTAGCATAGTGCAGGCACCAGATAAAACAAACTTTCTTTGTCTGTTCTTCCAGTCTGGCTGGACTCTGACATGAAGGAAAAAACCTTTAAGGATAAGAAGGTAAATTAAGTTTTTGCGTCTGTTCAGCACTTGGCCTAGTTATTGACACTGTTAGCAATGATGCTAATTATTGACATCTGTGCTGGAAGTGCTCTTCAAATCTTAGAGAATTCAGATCACCACTTAATTTCACACAGACCAATGAATAAGCATTAGTGGTGACAACTTTCAGCTACTTCCTATCTGGGCAAGTGGCAGAGTCAAGAAAGCTTATACTCATTTTCACGAGTTACTTCCTATTCCTACTCCCCCTCCTCATTAAGAACAATGCTGCTTAGAAAATCAGACCTTTCAAAAATAATTAAAATGAACAATTATACCGAAAGAAGATTATGACTGGAAGGAGAAATACCTTGTCAGCAACACTAGTTTTATTTGCCTGTTGTTTAGCAGTAAGTAGTTTGGGATTTGAGATTTCACCTTGTTCAAGATTGAGCAAGTCCATGCTCTTCAATATAATCTTTTAAGATTATAAGGGTCAGCACACTCTTTTCTGTTTAACTTTACAACAGCAAGTGTTGTATAAATCTTAGATCCTCTCATTAGTAATCTAAGTGGTACTACTTATTCAATGAAGATCTACTCTGAAAATGTTGTGAGAACACGAGGGTTCTCCACTCTTCTTTGAGCAATGAAGTATGGAACGATTAAGCCATCCAGAAGATTATATGGTACCTTCAAGCAGTCATTAAACACCATACCAAGGTGATGGTAGAGGCTGTTCATCTATTTTTTATATTGTAACTAGGACTTGCACTTAAGTAATGGGGCTAGTTATATTTTTGTGCATTAAAGACACTAGCTAACAGCAAGCTGAAGCAGAGGCACTGCTTAGTCTCTGAAGCAGGTTTAATATTTTCAGACCCTTACCAAGAATATTTTCCTACTATCTGAGAGCTGTGTGAGTATGTGTGGTAAGGGAACTGTTATTTGTAAAATTTGTATCAGAGTTCTCCTGTTGCATTTTCAGACAATGAAGGAAACGGATAAGACAACAGCAACAAAGCTTACTTCACGTTTCCTGCAGTTGCTTGAAAGTTCCAGCCAATGTGCTTCACCTCAGAGTAACTTATAATATCAGTTGGACTTATTCCCCTAAAAATCTGGCTCTTATTTTCATTTTAGTTACATTTATTTTGGGATTTATTCGGACTGAGGTAGGTAAAACTGAAGAGTACAGAAAAAATAATCAGGCAAAATAAGGGAATAACGATAAAAAAGTGACCACAGCAGAAATGGCTCCAGCTTTTTCATACTAGTTTCTTAGACATACACCACAGGAGAGACTGACTGATGGTTGTTTCATATTCATAATGCCATATAGACCTTTAAATTCTACACTGCTTTTTCCCACGCGCTTGGAAATAAAGTCAAGCATTCATTGTAGGATTATTACTGTTTGCTGGCTCAAGAGAAAGAAGCTGGAACTTCATTTCTCAAATAAAAATTCATAGCTGTATGTACATAAAAAAGAGAAAATATATATTATCGCTTTCAACAGAGACTGACTGAATATGCGACGAATTTATCTTTTTGCTGTTGTGTGACATCATTGCAAAGCTCAGGTACTGGTGTTGGTCAGTTTTTATTTGTCTTTGGCTGGAAGGAAGACTTTAGTGTCCTTAGTAGTCCACTCAAAACCCCTCACTATTTCCACTTGCTTAAAACAGATGTTGAAAAATTCATTGTTAACAAAAAGACATTTTGTTAACTTTTCTCTTTTGAACAGTGAAACTCTTCTCACAGTTTAGATTGTGAAACAAGTGGCTTAGGGAATGAAATATTTTTAAGAGTAATGCTCTGCGTTGAGAGACTCAGCATGAAATCAAGCCTTAATATTGCATTGTTTAAAAGGTCTCTACGAACCTTGGGACAACACATGATGGGAAAGCCAAGTTTCCTGACATCTTACTAAAGTGAACACAATATTAGATGGCAAAAGCCAAACTCACTGTAATGAGTTTTCTTTTAAAAAGACTTTAGTGATATTCAACTTTGACGAAATGCCATTTCATTTTAGTTCTGCTGTTGAAAGCATGAATACAATTATAACTGGTGTGTTTTACCAGCAGTATTAGATGATAAGATTTATTCTATTTGCAATGACAAACTTTCAAAGTTGAATAAACTGTACTGTATTTTGCCTCTGAGTAAAGAACCCTGATCTAACATCCACCTTTTCCTGTGTCTTCCTGTTTATCTCACTCACTGTTAAACCAGTGCTGCTCCAAGTTAGATAAATCTTCATTCAAATAGACTTATTGCCTCTGAGAATCTTGCTTCAGGCATTTCACACAGATAGGGCCAGTGAATGTTTTTCCTCCTTTCTAGGTTTATGTGTTCACTTCTTAAAATCACAAGTCCAAGAGGGCACTTATTAAAGAAGGATTGCAATGTGTGGATATGCATTTCAGATACCTAGGAAATATGGAGTTAGGTCAGAATAACTGTCATAAATTCACACTCTTTTGGACAGCTTTGTATTTATGAAGTTTTTGGTACATTTTAGTTCCTCCAAGAAAACATAGTGGATACACTAGAATTAAAAAAAGTATTTAAGAAGAATGAATCTTTGTTAGTGGCCACTACTCTCTTAAGCAGAAGGAAAAAGGAAGTGGATGTACCAGAGGTACTATCAGGTAAGGGTTAACTAAAAAAAAAAAGTCGAGGTAGCCTTTATCATTTTAAATAGGGTAGTGCTATCTCTTTTTGACAATTCTGACATTTTTCCCCTCAAGAAAACCTGCCTGATACTGGGAAACACTTTTGCCTTGTGTTCAAAAGCCCAAATTTCACATAAGATCCATGGGTGAAGTGTCAAGGGGCCAAGCCAGGTTGTTGTGTGGTGCAGTGCATAAGCCGTGTGCTTCGCTGGATAACTGGCTTGTGTATGGCACTCATTTTTATAGGCTCTGCAGCACCACATAGCAACACTACGTGACACTCTTCTCAGAGAAACAGTAAGACTTGTGAAGAGTAAAATTATTCTCTGTATATAATATCCTTTATGAAAGAGATTATCACTACACAAGTGACAAATCACTAGACAAGACGTTGGATGATCTGGGAATTATACTACAGGCTCTCCCTTTGAATTTCTGAGTGATCTCAGGCAAGTTGACATTTAATCTCTTTGACTATTTTTTAACATCAGTTTGCACAAATATTGGTCTTCTTCTCCTTTTAATTTTGAAGTTATAACTTAATAGGCACATTTTCGAGTTTGCTTTTTGTTTTCTATATGACAATACTTTATCTATTATCTGTTATCTATTATGCAAACTGTACAGTTTCAAGAGACTGAGACCCATATTTCTGTGTATCACATGAATGTTCATAGGATAAAGTTTTTTAGTGAGACATTTCCTATCTAAATGTTACAGAATACAAATGCATACAGCAAAAGCCAAAGAACTAGAAATGAAGAAGCATGACAGTGAATTAATAATTCATAACAGAAATGATAAATGATAAACAATCAGTTATCAATACCACCAGGAACTGCTGAAGAAATATTTCTGTCAAATCACTGCATAGATTTGCAATAAGGTTTCCTAGGTATTCTATCACTGCATGAGAGGAAGTGTGGGGTAAGGTTATTATGCATTGGATTATGACTTTTCAGGCAACCACACAGCTATTGAATACACATGGCTGTGGAGAACAACCAGAAAGCATGCCTGATTCTTCCAAGGAGCACTGAACTCATCCTGTGTGCATATTGTGACTGCATGGGCCAGACGCTATATGCGACATATTCAGAAAACATTGGATCTATTGCACTTTTGCTAAGGAGCTGTAATATCATTGCATTGTATATTTCCGAAAATATAGGACACACATGATTAATGTAAGCTCACATGAATGCTATGTAGCACATTCACAATCTAGATAGGAGCTTTCATCATGGACAGAGCAACTACACATCTGGAAAATCTGAACAAAGAGGACAGTGTTTCTAGGTGGCAAAATATGAGATGTACAGGGAAGAAAAAAACGACAGTTGTAAGGAAGATGCAGTCTAAAAGTAGGTGTAGAAGCTTGATAGGTGCAATGCTTTATAGATCAGTTCTTCAGA